TGTGTGTGTGCACGTATAACAGACCAAAAAGGGACACAGAAGGCCATATTTGCCTTTGTGCAGTGGCCGCCGGTGTGTACACTGCAATGTGTGACATTAGTTCAGCATGTCTAAGCTGTGATGTGCCTGCAGCCCTGATGAAGTGAAGTGCACGTCTACGTCCAAAGAGCACATCCATGTGGCAGCCATCTTGTATCCATCTTGTTTCCTTTCTTATACAGAAGATCAAGTAACTGTGAATGATCAAACACTACATGTGCACGCTAAATGTGTGTATGTGTGTGCTGACCTGCTGTGCTCATTAGTATTCTAGGCAGGTCCCTCTGCCACTGACTCTCTGCTCAACCAATAATAATGGTCTGATGGGAGTCTGATGGCCACAAGGCTTTCTCATGTACACACACACACACATATAATCACAGTAAAGCACACACACACACATGCATCCAAACTATAATTCACAAACCAGTCGTTGCAGGCAACAAATGGTGTATAGTGATGCATAGTTACTAATTACATCTCTTTTTTGGCATTTTTCAACCACTTATTTATTGAAAAAGCAGAGCGATGATGGGAAATAATGGATGAATGGCATTGGGAAATGTTGCTAGCTGTATTCAAGCATAATATGCCCACATGAATACCACAGCTCAATGTATCCAACCCAGATTCATTAAAAAACAATTTGCAACCATGCCATTTTAGCGTGCTTTTACAAATCTTTGAGCTATTTTTATAATGTGGCATAACATGGTACCCGAGTGCTTTAAATCACAATGATGTACCAGGTGAGGTAACAAGCAAGTTTACAACATCAAAAAAGTCATACATATGGAGCTGGTTATGTGATGCAAATGTCAAACTGTATTAGATTACAAGTCATGCACAATGGTAAAAGTGCTCTGCAGTCATAATATAGTATTGTGCAAGAAAATCAAGTATTGTGATTTAGAAAAATCTAAATCAGTCTGTTGTAACATAACGTGAAATAAAACCCTGCATACAAACAGTGGACTGCGATAATAGATACGTTTTTAGTATTTT